CAGCCCGATCGCAAGTGGGAGCTGCGGTCATTGGGTGGCGGCGGGTGCTCGCGCGCTCCTGGTGCTCCCGGTGCAGGGGGACGTTGGAGCCACAGGCGCTGCCTCAGCCTGCAAGACTCAAGTGATGCTGCGTGCGCGGTTTAGTGGAGAGGAGAGTGAGGGGCAATGTGCTCACACATCTGTATGTAAGTGGTTTTGTGGAGAACAGAGTCGATAACAGAAGGCTCTTAGATCTAGCAGGCAAAGGTACGTCTCAATCTGATGACTGTAAGATGAAACAAGCCAAACTTAAACTGGAAATAAAGCATACGCATTAGTAGTTAACTTTTGCAGAGTAAACTGAACGCTGCAGGAGATGTGCCATCAGTGGACACTTAAAACAAAGTCTGGACAGCTTGTTTCCATCTCTGCTCAGCCAGTGACTGATTCCAAAGCAGACGTTAATTCTGGTGGTCCTGTGACGGGGTGGGGGACACGGTGCTGGTTCTTCGCTCCCCTTTCGGTGCCCTGAGCCAGGCACACCCATCCCTGGGCTTGTCGGGGGCGTATTGCTGGGCTTGTGCTTAAAGGGGTGAGCCAGGCTCTGGGTAAGCTATTGCAGAACTACTGAAAGAGATCTTGGGCTGAAAGCTTTACCCAGGTTTTTCGTGCTGCTCAGAGAGGCTATTGCTGTGCAGCAGCTGAGCTGCGGTGAGGTGCGCATCAGTGTTTGCCGGCTGCGGGGACTGTGGACGCGCTGGTGTCAGACTCGGCCTGAACTCCTCCTGAAACGCTCCTCGTTTGCAGCTAAAACTTTCTATGCTGAGCCTTTGCATGAAGATGCATTTAATTCAAATGTTTGATTAACCTCCTTTCAACTATTTCTGAGTTATGGAATGAGTTGAAAAATACTTGCATATAAAAAATTACTAGTGTTAAAAATAATTCTAACCACAGGAAAAATAGCTACGTTTTTTTAGCTTAACCAGACTTCATCCTCATGTGGCCGAACTCCTTCCCGAGGAACAAACACTTGCAAATACAGCAAAAATGCTTTTGAACATGCTCGGATGGCATATGCTAAGCTGGGGGG